TATGAAAAATGTTAGTTAACACCCCCTAAGTTTTCGAAAATGATTTTGAAAATTTTATACTGGTTTTTGGAAAATTTGAAATTTCTGTAAAATCAAAGTGGGGTGTTACACAAGTTTTTCGACTCGTCTTCTCCTAACCTTTCTTGCGAGCTGGTCAAAGTCGAGCAACGTTTTTAGCAGCTTCATAGCTGTTAGACAAAAGTTTATGACTAACAGCTTCGTGGCTGATAAACAAGGAGTTTTTTCGACCCGTCTTCTCCCAACCCTTTTTGCGAGCTGGTCGAAGACGAGCAACGATATTTAGCAGCTTCATATTGACTTTCTAGTATATTAGGGATGTAACCGTCCGTATTGCGGTTATAATGAAAGGTTCTTTTTGAAATACAACTTCGTAAGTGTTAAGTCGACTTCGTAGTCGTATGCTTCGCAGCTTAGTCAAGATTCCACTCGAGAGATACAACTTCATAGTTGCTTGAAATCGACTTCGTAGTCGTAAACTTCGTAGCTTAGTCGAGATTTCACTCGAGATATACAACTTCGTAGTTTCTTAATTGACTTCGTAGCCGTAAGCTTCGTAGCTTATTCGAGATTCCACTCGGGGTATACAACTTCGTAGTTGTTTAATCGACTTCGTAGTAGTAAGCTTCGTAGATTATTAGAGATTCCACTCGGGGTATACAACTTCGTAGTTGTTTGATCGACTTCGTAGTCGTAAGAGTCAGTCGGCTTCATAGCCGTTTTAAAAAATTCAAATTTTCAGTTGATCATACTAAGGTCGATAGATAAACGCAAAAAGACATAACTGAAGCATAAACTTGTGATTCATTTCATTACTGAATTCGATTTAAACATTGTTCAGCACAAAAAGAAAATTGGAATTTGCCTTAAGCATAAAAACATTTGAGGTGGATCACGTGCCAATACCGCGACAATTGTCGACCTTCCCTATCCTCGAGTTTATATGCGCCTCTCTCGAGCACTTTTGTGATAGTGTAGGGTCCTTCCCAATTAGCTTCCAGTTTCCCGACATGTCTGAGGGCGTCTGCACGCTTGAGGACGAGGTCTCTCACCTGGAATCGTCTGGTTCAGACTTTCTTATCAAAGGCGGCGCGCATCTTCTGTTTATATTCGACGGATCGCACCCAGGCTTCTTCTCGTCCTTCTTCAATCAGGTCGAGGGCTTCCTCAACCATCTCCTCGTTTCTCTTTTCCTCATAGAATGTCGACCTGTGAGAGTTTAGGCCGACTTCGATGGGCAGGAGTGCATCCATTCCGTAAACCATGTGAAATGGAGACTAGCTCATTGAGCTTCTTGGGGTCGTCCTATAAGCCCATAGGACCGTTGTCAACTCGTCAACCCAAGCTCCCGACGCCTTCTCCAATCACTTCTTCAACCCTTGGAGAATGGTTCGGTTTGTTACTTCGACCTGGTCATTCACCTGAGGGTGTGCGACTGAGGAAAATCGTTGCTTGATCCCCATGTCGAGGCACCATGCTTGGATCCGTTTCCCTTGGAATTGTGTTCCATTATCTGAAATCAATACCTTCGAAACTCCAAATCGGCAGCAGATGTTGTAGAACATGAATTGAATCATTTTTTCCTCAGTGATTTTTGCTAAGGGTTCTGCTTCGACCCACTTGCTAAAGTAGTCGACAGCGACCACCAAGAATTTCTTCTGTCCCGTTCCCATTGGCAATGGGCCCACTAACTCAACTCCCCATTGAGCGAAGGGGATTGGAGTATTGATTGTCATCATATATTCAGCTGGGATGTGAGTGATTTGCCCATGGCGTTGGCATTTTTCGTATTTTTTGACCAACTGTTCTGCCGGTGCTCGAGTTTTAGGCCAATAGTAGCCTGCTCGTAAGGCTTTTTCAGCTAGAGCTCGGGACCCTACGTGTGCTCCACAACACCCTTCATGGATTTCTCTCAAGACTTGAATTCCTTCTTCTTCAGAAACGCATCGTAGATGGGACCGACTAGCGACTTCTTATACAAAATCCCTCGACTTCAAAGTATTTGCTGAGGTATCGAGCAACTTTTTTTGCCTCTTGTTTGTCTCCCGCAGGCACTTGTCCCTGCAAGAGTTCGTGAATCAACTTCCTCCAATCATCCTTCTCGTCGTCTTCCATTGTCTCGCTCAACACACTTCCTTCTAAGTGCATCATGGTAATGTGGCATCCTATCTTCCCTTCATTGGAACTTGTGATCCTCGCGAGCCAGTCGACTCGCTTGCTTTCTTCTAGTGGGACTTGTGTTAACTCAAATTTTCCCAGGCTTTGTGTAATGCCCCGTTTAATTGTGAAATATTTGTCATTATTTGTTTATTTATTTATTTCATTAATATTATTATTAGTGTTATGTTACTATTAAATACCTAATTATTATTATTATTATTATTATTATTATTATTATTATTATTATTATTATTAAATGTCTAAATCGCCTAAATTTGATTATGTGATTAAATGTTTATTCGTAATAAATATTAGTTGTGTGTATTATGTATATTTATATTCTGGTTTATTTTAATTATCGAA